GAGCTGGGACAGGCACAGGAGTATGGTTTAAAACACTTGGCTCCCAGTGCGAAAAGTCATTAAGTGAATGGAAGAGGAGGCAGTTCAGTTGTGTGGTAACAGGACTCATTTCTTCTACACAGTATGGCCGAGGTTGAAGACCAGAAAATACAAACACTTATGAGTACTAGCTAAGCCCTCACCATCTTATTCAAAACCAGAAAAAAAGCAAAACCCAAACTGAGACTTTTTCAGTTCCTTCTCATGCAGGCTGCCTCCTGAGCCACCTCATACTGGAGATGTTCTGGGGTGGCAAAATCCTGTTTTTGCTCTGAGAAAAGTCTCTCTTCTTTTCTTGTTCTGACCAGAATCAGATTAGGTTGTCAACCAGCTTAAAAGAGAATCCAAATGATTTGCAGCGTGGTGCAACAGAGAAGAGCATCACCACAGTTCTGTGGATACATGGCTAAAATAATGGGCATTACGATTTCTGGTGAAAGGAGGGTGAAGCTGCTTTACAGGTTACATACAAGAGTAACCTGCTCCTTCTTTCCTATCTTCTCTCTGTGCTCACAAAAAAAGCCATGCTGCCTCCCAAGCAAAGAAGTTGCTGTTAGCAAGCTGCCTTGCCTCATTTCTACCTAAAGCTGTCATGGAACAAAGAACATCTGTTCATTTTAGACTGCGTGGCAATACGCAGCACAGCCAGAGAATACAGCTGCCTAATTCCTAACCAAGCCCGTACCACCTTTGCTCTGAGAAAGAGGTCAAGTATTGCTCTTTACATGCCAAAGTTGCCCTAGTTGGCTTAGCTTTGGTTTTAATACCATAGCTGGAAAAACATATGCTAATTTTACCTCCTCTCTTTTGATAATTCACCCCCCCAAACAATTAAGTACCAAACCAAGTTTTAGGAAAAGCAGGGTCTGAAGATCTGGATGCTGTTAGGAGCCATGCAGAGTCTAATTCCGGCATGGCTGCAAATTTAATTTGTGGTCTTGAATAAGTCAATTAAATTCTTCTCATCAAGTCTTCCCTCAGTAAAATTGAGAATAATTACTTGCCTTGTAGAGACGCTGCAAAGACTAAGGAAGTCTTGAAATAGTTTATTTAAGATGTTAAAATCTCTTAAGAATTATGTAGAAACCTCAGTTAGGATTTATAAAAAGGTTATTTAAAAACACAGTGGAATAAAAAGTATCATCATTGAAACTAATTAATGAAATAACAATGTTGAAAAACTTCTCAGATGTGAAGGATGGAACATAAATCTGCAGTCGCCTGGGGGAGTATATTCGGCTCAGAGAAGCAACTGCTCTTTATTCGCTATGGTGGAACAAAGTCAGTGCAGATACATGAGGAAATTCGTGTAGCCTATGATACTCTTTAATAGTGTCTTCCATCATTATCGGTCTTAATTATTCATGATGTTATAACGCTTCAGGCCTTTAGCTGGGATCTGTCCTGGTGTGGTTGGTACCACAGACACAGAAGATAGTGAAGTTCCCTGCCCCGAAGAGCTTACAGTCAGAGGTCCTGAATGTCCAGCAGTTTACATCACACGGGGATGAGACCATAAATGCCAACAGCTCTGTTTATAGACATAAAATTAGTTCATGTAAACGCATCGTCATGGTAGATAAACTCAAATACATCATGAGAAATGTCACATGGATTCCCCTGGCAGATGCAGGCAGCACAAGGTAACAGTGGCATTATTACGGCTGGTGTAATCCCAGCTGTCAGAGTACACCAGTTGCTTAGATGTGCTCTATGTGCATACTGAGAGATGTGAATTTCAGGGAGGAGGCCAGGAAGAGGCAGGGTAACTAAGGGGCCTTGCACAGCCTTAGATGGATCTCCTCTGGTTTTGGCAGCCCAAGATAAAGCACAAATGTATTTGTAGAAAACTTGACCTTAAATTTACAAAAGCAGACATTACTGGCAGAGCACAGGCCAGTACCATCAGCATGTATGAGACAAAACACAAGGTGGGACTGTGCTGTGATAGATCTTAAAAGTGAAAAATAGAAGTTTGAGCTGATATACAGAAAATAAAAAGCCAGCAGAGGGAACGGTAAAACCAAAGGCACAGACAGCCTGCAGTTTCATACACGCAGATCTTGGCACATCTTCAAAATTAATTGTTAACCTAGTAATAATAATGCTTTGCTCAAGACATAATTATCCTGTACCCAAATGAACATGGTCCTTCTCCCCCATCTTGTACTGTAAGACAAACAATAGAAAACAAGGCTATCAAATTTGCCATTTTATAAAGGACTACTGAGGAGTAACCCATTTGATCTATAACATTTTTCACAAGTGATAATGTAATAAAAAGATGGATCAGTTAAGAAACCCCTGCCTTATCCCCACCACACTACTCAAGGTTGCTGTGCAACCAGTTCCAGCCACTATCTGATAGAGAATGTAAGAGAGGGAGAGTCAGACATTGCCAAAAAAGCACCAGAAGAGCTAATTCAAGAAGTTCATACCCATTTCCTCCACTCATTCCTCCCTTATCTACTACCTGCATTTTCCTCTGCTCAATCGTGCATCATTGGCTGTGTTTTATTAGAAGAGGTGCCTATTGCCTGCAATGGGGAGGGCTGGGAGTGATAAGAGGGCTTGTGTTGATTTTGGTTTTTATTCCAGATTGATTACTGGCCATGCTTACAAAGCAAAATTATTTCCCCTGTTCCTCTACTGATATGTACACACAGGTACATGTGTGTACATCTAAACACTTTTCGTGTTACAGTGAAGCCTACGGGGTGGTATATTCAAGTATCTCTCAGTATAGCTACTCCAAACTGCAGGATACACAGCCACACTGAAAGGCGATGGGACATTACTCTGATTTTACACACATGGTGAAAGCCAAACCTTCCTCTTTTCCTTGTTTTCATTTGAATAAACAGAACAAGGTTGCTTAGCTCACTGTCTGGTTTCTCCGGGGCAGTAGAGTTGTGCTTTATGCTGTTTGCTTAGTGACATGTCGGTGTAGTGCAGGTCAGGTGATGTCCTTGAAGATACGGGTCTGTTCATATGATTATGTATCTGTAATTAACACTGCACAAGCTAAACCGGAGCCTTACAGGACTCTTTCCTCAGGTCATCTTGCTGTATGAGTGAGGAGGCAGCAGCTGCTTCTTAGCCCGAACGTCCAGTTGCATACAATGATCTTTATAGGTGTAAAATAAATGTGCTCTCTGCTCAGGCAAGCTTCCTCTGTCAGTAATAGTTACTGACTTGCCAGTTCACTAAGAGTTGGTCTCCACCAACCATGTACATCCACGGTACTAAACTGAGGGCTGTTTCCACACAAGTCTGTGGGTGGATACTTGTTTTGTCAGCTCCATGGTCTTGTTTTGTTTGTATGGCATTCAGTCTCATCCGTAGAAGGTGTCAGTGAGACCTGGTATCAGTGGGGACAGGTAAGAAACAGGTGTTTTGCCAGTTCTCTTCCTACTTTCTGCCATTTGCAGAAATGAGGAGCATTTCAATTTGGTATCCCAGCCAAAAGTTACTGTACTCAGGCAGGTGCTGGCTTCTCCACCAGGACGTGGCTGAACGCAGGAGTCCAGCTGGGGACACCTTCTACGCACGCTCCTTTCTGAGACAAGCCTCTCCTGATGTGAAAGGTGAGGAGAGGGTAGTGGGCTGCCTGACTAAAGAATGCCTGTAAGAGTCAAACCCCCTTTCCAGTAGCTGTGCAATAGATTTTAAGACAAAAAACCCCAACCAGTGAATGAAAGTGTATCAGGATTGGGGGGTACATGCATTCAGAGCATGCATGGATGGTGATTTCTGTACAACCTGTGAAGACTCTTGGGAGCAGAGACCTGAGCAGACTGGGCAAGTACATCCTGGTGAGAGCAGGCAGGTGATAGCAATAGGTGATGCAAGGGCATCTCTGCACGGCAGAGCATGATGCAGTACAGACACAGCAAGCAGCATGCTGCTGCTGTTAACAGATACCTCTGATGACAATGTGACTGTCACCACCTATGACACTACATAAAACCAGTAGCAGCAAGTGTCTGCTTCATGCATGCTGCTTCACACCTCTGGTGGCCTTTGTGCCATTCTGGTTTAGGTTGGCTGTAGTGATCACTGTCTTCGTATGATGTTTTTGAAAGTTATGAAATTGTAGAGTTCTGCAGAAAGTACAGGAGAATGGAAAACGGCAGAGCTCCAAGACAGAAGGAGCAAAAGTAAATTCAGTGCAATAAAGTTCCACTTTCTGAAAACATTAAACAGTTTTAAGACTACACTAGTCTAAGTAAATGAACACACCCTTTTTATTACTGAGGCAACCAAAGTAGGGAGAATGGAAACAGCCTGTTATAGGTAAAGCCAAATGAGATGTTGCCCTAGTAACTCTCAGCAGGGAAGCACTTAAATCCAGCCAGTTTAGTGAAGCTGATGTTCTGACTCAGAGATTATTTTCTCTGTAAAAAAAATCTGAAAGCAGGAAAGCTCAATTTAACAAACATAAGATTTATTTTCCTGTTACAGCAAACCATGGTGACAATGCTTGGGAGAATACAGAAGTATTTATAAACTTGTACAAGGAAGAAGAGACAAGGCATGTTTTCAACAAAAGCATCACTTTACTCAACATGTTTTTTGATGCTGATTTTTTTCCCCGAAAAAGTAAACTTCACATTAATTTTTATTTTCGGATTCTGAAATACAGAAGTGATAACAGAAGTCTGGAGATGTTACACAGATAGTTACATTATTATCATATTATTTCTGTAAGAGGAAGTTCCTGGAGCAAACCCTACTTCAGCTCTGCTATTGGACACAGAATCAAAGTAAATGATTTAAAAGAAGAAAGACTCCATGTCTCCACTGGTTCTGTTGCCTGGAATAGTTTTAATTAGGCCCTCTGTCAGGACTTCACTTTTATGGGTTCACGGAAAAGTCACTTGGCTTGGCTAAAGGTCTCTCACATCAGGGGGGAAAAGCCCCTCAAGCCTTATTTGCAGATTCATGTTATTTTTGATACAATGATTTCACAGAAGTAAAAGTTCTGGCATGATCAGCCATGTACATCTGTATTCCTGGGTGCAACAACTACTGTTCAGCATAGGCAAAGTCAGTTTCAGGAGAACACTTCATTTCAGCAGCCTCAATACAGTTAATGATGATGGTTATGAATGTGAACTATTGCATAGATTTTTTTTTTTAAATTAAAAAAATACAATAAACAGATCAACACTTACATCACACTAACCATGAAAAGGCAGACTGCCAAAGAGTTACCACAAAAATATGTATTTTATCAACACTGATAATAGCTGGAAAGCAAAGCTGCAATGGCATAAGTACTAAAATTTGAGTTCTATGTTAAAAGCCTGAGAGTTTTTCACAAGCCGGTTGTACGAGCAGTGAAAGGATGTTCTGTAAGCCACAGAGATCCACTTCTCACTGACCAGAGCCTGGTTTGAAGTTTAATGAAACACTGTTTATACAAAACCTCTGCCCAGAAGGTGTGGGACCATCATCAAACACATGGCCTAGATGGGCGTCACACTGCAACAGAAATTACGTACCATTATTACCATTACAATTATGGACCAACATTATGCTGGTACCTACTGCACTATCCTGAAGGAAGAAACTTGCATGATGAATTCACCGTTGAGTTGTGTGGGTGGGGGGGTCTTGGGGAGAGACTAGAAATACATCCTGGAGTAATCACCTCTGGCCAGTGGGTGAATATCTGCCCCCAAACAAGCAGATCCCAGCAGAGGAAGTCAAAAGGTACTAATGCCAGAAAGTACAGGAAATAAATGGGAGGATCTAGAATTCTCAATACCTAATGAAAATTTCAAGTTGATTGAGACAGTCACTGTAGGTTCTTCTCACAGGTCAACTGAGGATTCTCCCCCTCCTCCCCCCGCAAATTACTGATGGGAAAAAGACTCAGAATAGCTATCAGTGGTTCATTATAAAATTGGAAGGTTGTCTTCAGCTGGGGTTCCTGAAAGGTGATTGCTGGATATTACTGCAAACATGAACTATACCATGATAATGGACTGCAACGAGTGCTTCTTATATTTGCAGGTAATACCTAATCCTGCTCAAAGAGGCTGCAATTCATTAAACTCAATTGCATACTTTTATATCTTAACAGACATGGTAAACAGAACAGACTCAGGGTTGGGAAGAAATGGTTAGGGCTGGCAGTTCTTTATAAAAGGACCTGGGTATTACAGCAGGTCCCAATACAAGTATGGGTCATGGGTAGGGGAAAGGCAAAGGTGTAAGGACAGGAACACTACCAGGACAGGAGTAGCTACCAGGGAAGGGCGGCTTCTGTGAAACAAGAGAACCCACAGAAGACAGCTGTGAAGATGTGGGGCACCACCACCGCCGTGCAGGGCAAATAGTAATAATCTAGGGCAAATAGTAATAATCTTCAACTGCTGCAAAGCAAACTTAGCGTTTTCCCCAGTGTCTAACCAATAGTAGGAAGACATGAATGTTACAACTCATTACCTAGCGAGGCTGTGGAGTCTCCATCACTGCGTATTTTAAGAACAGCTTAAGCAAACATTTAGCAGGACTGATTTAGGAAGCACTGATCCTATGATGGGGCAAATGGGTAGACTAAATCTCAGAGTCCCTTCTACTGTTGTCACGTAATGCAGTTCACCTGATGTCCTCTGAATAAATTTTCTGTCTAAACTCCAGCCCTTGGCTACACTTACGCAACTACTCTCCCCAGTCACATCATTTTCTTCACCCAAATGCACTGTCTATATTAGATATTTAGAAATCTACTTGTTTTTCATACCAAGAATTGAGACAGAATAGTTCCAGTGATACTGTAATTCTCACTGCTAGATTTAGGTAGATTTATTTATGGGCACAAATAAAACTTATTTGTTAAGATTTGGGTCTTTGGGTATCACCTCCAAAATAAACATACCTGTTTGCAGACGACTTCAGTTCTAGTTGATCCCAATGAGTTATCTGGTCGTCTCATGATATTGGTATTGCTTTCATCTCTGCCGCAAGTACCATAAGCCTCAGAAAATGATGGCCATCCAGTCCCAGAATTGTACTTCTTTTCTGAGCTATAGTGGAAACCAGATCTTCTTGTTAATTAATAACAGAGATGTTACAAAAAGGTCTGATTTCAATAAGAACATTGGATTTTTTCCTCATCCTTGTCTTGTAATACTATAAATAGTATTTGGCATAGTAGAAGTTTTCTCACTGGCATCAAACTGCTGGAAGCTCTTTACCGAAGGGAATTCTCCATCAGCCCACAACGGGAGGTTTTGCCACACCTTTTCTATTTCACTGATAGTTTGGCATTTTATAGAGCTTGAAAAAAGGTTTTTCCAACAACTAAGCACATTGTTCAGCTGAATTACACCTGCAAAGCTGCAGTTCAAAGCCTGGGCCAATACAGCAAACCTCAGAGAAGCGTTTACAAGAAGAAACGAAATATGGAAAATGAGTATGGAAAATGGCTGGGTTGGCCCACTGGACCAGGCTCACATCTGATGATGGCTTCGGCTTGCAGTCAGCCATCAAAATGGTTTGGTAAATCAAACAGAGCCTTGCTCAAACCGTCAGTCACCCAATGACAAATCCTCACAGCGCAAAGATCTACTTTTCCCAAGAGATAATCGCAGCCATCAGAAACAGTACTACAGACTGTCAGCTTGTGGGTGCCTCCTGTTAACATCCAGGATTTACTGTTTAATATCTTCATCAATGACATAGACAGTGGGATCGAGTGCACCCTCAGCAAGTTTGCAGATGACACCAAGCTGAGTGGTGCGGTCGACACGCCAGAGGGACGGGATGCCATCCAGAGGGACCCAGACAAGCTCAAGAAGTGGGCCTGTGTGAACCTCATGAGGTTTAACAAGGCCAAGTGCAAGGTCCTGCACCTGGGTTGGGGCAAGCCCCGATATCAATACAGGCTGGGGGATGAAGGGATTGAGAGCAGCCCTG